GGAATATACTTACTATTGGAATTGGAATGAAAGCAATCTAAAAATAACTATATAAACAAAGATTAGAGAAACCGATGACGTGTTCAACGGCTAATATGCAGAGCGTCCGGACGCTACAATCACCAAGTCTAAATTAGTCTCAAAGTTACTACTTGTAGTGAAAGTACCTACATTATCATGTCAGTAACTTTAGCAGCTGTAGATTATTAATAACTTATAATCTAAATCTGGGCAGGACGGATAGACAGCCACACATATTCGAAACTTGAACTTCATATAACGTAAATATAAGAAAACTAAATTAAAATTCGATATTTAAACAAACACAGTCATAACTCTGATCATGTTAAAGTTACATCCCACTGCTGGGCACAGGCCTCCTATCATTTCTAAGAGAGTTTTAAGGCAAGGAAGTTTTCGCCGCGCTGCCCCGATGCGTGTTGACGAACTTCACAGGTCTTCGAAATATTTTTTATTATGTCTTAGATATACGGGTTTCCAGACGATATTTTCCCTAACCGTTGAGCCTTTGACAAATCAGCACTTAAAATTACAATTAACAATTTCATTGATGCCGGCGGGGATCAAACCCGGGTTGCTCGCGTACTGTGAAATTTACATCGAGCGCCTAAGGGGCTAACCCCTGAGCTACCAAGGCTCTAGTTACGTTTAATTTATAAACAGACAACTATATTGGAATATAAAAACAATAATTGTTATCATCCGATTTTCGGTACCTCGATTATATAATACACAATGACGGCGAGATAGACCAAGTCGTAAGGAATGGAATAAATTCAGGATAGATAGATAAAATGGCGACAGGTAACGACGATCAAGAAACCTGTACGGATACAAGTGCTTGGTTACGAAGGAGATGGAAAAAGAATTTAGAAAAACAGACATTTGAATAAAATGCGGATGTTATGATGGATGGGGGGATGACACAACCACATAGAATGAATTAATCAAAGACAGCTTGAAAGTGGCACGTATGGGCATAGGACAGATGGAAGAAAATCATGTAATAAGTAGAATGTTGGATATGAAAGTGAATAAATAACATGGAAGAGAAAGAATAGAGAGAGAACTAAGAGTATAGAGAAGGCCAAGAAGACAAGTACAAACTCTGTGATGGATCTCATGTGAATAATAAGGGATGTAAGGGGTAAAAGCAGGGAGAAGAAGAAGAAAAGATAAAAATTTTACTTTCTCGGCACAAGCCCTGGGTTGGTAACACTTTGATCTGTCGCCAAATAGTATTCTCACAGCTATGTGCCAAGTTCTGTAAGCCATTTCAACTTAGTCCACAAAGGCGATAACACATTAGTGCTCTTTAATTATAAGGTGTTCATGGACTGCAGTACAGTATTGCAGGCCCACTTTCCATCAAGTGAACTGCTAGCTCATTTTCGCTTCAGTATTAATAAAATGCTTAGTATTTAAAAATGTATATAATGATTACGGCCTGCTCACGAGCATATCAGTTCATTCATTCTTACAATTCCAGCCCTTCATAAATCCACTGCTGAACATAGGGAGAAGCTATAGAACGCCACAAAACACATTCCTCAGCCACCTGCATCCATCAACTTCCCGCATGTTTAACCAGATCGCACTCCATCTAGTGGGATAACCTTTCTTCCTCATCGGTTGTCTTTTCTTCGAGCTATATGGCCAAGCAATTGCCGCTTCAGCTTACTAATCCGTTGGGCTATGTCGGTTACTCTGGTTCTACTGCGGATATCCTCATTTCTGAGTTTATTACGCAGATTAACTTGAGCTTTGCCTTCTCCATAGCTCACTGAACAACCTTGAGCTTCCTCATACCAACCGCCGTGAATGACCACGTCTTAAATTCATAAGTCATCACTGGTTGTACAATCTTGTTGTCACGTTTTGAGGTATATCTATATATAGCTCTCGGTTGAAGTTGGACTTACCTACTCGGACTATTTGTCGCAGGTAAACATACTAATCGACAACTTTCAGCGTAGTGCTCCTAACTGGCATAGATGTTACATTAACGTTACATATGACCTTTGTTTTGTCCATGTCCATTTTAAGACCTATCCGTGAGGAGGCACTATTGAGGTCATTGAGCATAGTGCTTAGGTTCTCCAGTGATTCTGCCATAAGGACTATACCACCGGCAAATTGAAGGTGAGTGATGCACTCGAAATTGATGTTAATACTGTACTGGTAGCGTAATACTGGACTGGAAAGGATACGGTAACACGAGCACAAAAACTATATGAAATACTAGGTTTATAATAAATAAATCGATACCCTTAATGGCCGATAGTTAAAAGTCTAATAAAAATAAAGGTCGACAAATTCATTACCGAATCAAAAATTTCGAATATAATGTTTTAATTTCATTCATCTTTTAATATACATGTTTAATATGCTCCATGTTAATTATATCTTGATAAAGAGGATTTGTCTAAGATACTATAATTAGCTCCACAGCAAAAATTGATATAAAATAATTAATTATAATTAAGTTGAGGTTACAGTGAACAAATTTAAATTAATAAATTAAAATTATATGCAATGGTTTTATACTCTACCTCTAGATTAATGAGTTACCGTCGACATCCAACATTTTTTAATGTTAAGCAAACTTGTTTTTTTTTAAACAGGCGTTGCTTTTGTTAGTTGTTGAATAAAAAATAAAATCGTTGAATAATTTCTATTAAGTAAACTGGCTTAAAACCAATTTATCACTTATTTTAAGCCAGTTTACTTAATGGGAAGACATTTATCTATTAAAATATAATTGATCTATTTAATTTTCCTTTTAATGCTATATATTTTTGGCTTAACCTGATCCGAGTAGCTCGATGCTCTTTAGACTCTGCCTATCACCTCGGATATTACAGAAGTGACGCTATATATGTTCTTCATTTTTAGTTATGGAATAATTTGTCAACTTTATTTTTTACTTTTTTATGGCATATATTTATGGCACAAATGTGTTCATTTTAATTAAAATAATGACCTACATTATTAACATTAATAGCAAAGAAATAACGTGTCCCAAGAAATAAATAACACGACACGTAATCTTTTAATTTGTTCAAATAAACGTGGTGCGGTAATAAAACAAAACAGGCGACAATCGACCTTTGCAAGGTGGAAAATGATGTTATATACCTACGGTTAGTTTAAGCCCCACTACGAAAATTTTCTTTACTTTTTTTTACACTTTTTTTCATATGTCAAAAGTGATAACGTTGGAAATTTAGAATCATTTATTTCTTTGATTTCTTAAGTAATTTAAATGAAAAGTTTGATCTTATATTAAAAATTTAAACTAAGTAAGCTGTTACTTCATTGTTACCGTAAAGTTGACTTATTATTTTAGAAGGATTCAATAAAAATTGTATACTTAATCAGAAGTTAATACCTAATAAGTAAGTAAAAGTACTTATCACTATATAAAGAGGAGATTAATAATTTCGTAGTACGCTAGCAAGCCAAGTTCAATCTCAATCGGCATCAATGAGATCATGTACCTAACTTCGATTTTAATTGCTCGGCTGTGAATGAAAACTATAGATGGAGTGATGACCTGGTAAGACATGCAGGAAGTCGATGGATGCAGGTGGCTCAGGACTGTGCTTTGTGGCATTACTTAGGGGAGGCCTATGTTCAGCAGTGGACTTGTGAAGGGCTGTAATGATGATGATGATGAATGAAAACTTGAGAAAATATAAATTTCTGAAAAATTATAAATATTTCACAAGTTGTGGTATCCTCCTACACGCATTACGGCACCACGGCGAACTTAATGGTGCTTCAAAAACGCTTTCATAAATCACAGAAAGCCTACACATAGGACTGAGAACTATTACTTTACTATTTCACTATGAAAAAATTCAAAGATATATTTAATAAAAATATTATAGTTTGAATCAAAGAAAAGTTTCCATATCAAAGTAGTAATTATCGGGTAGCACATATAAAAACATAGTTTTCCACATACAAAATTTTAAATAATTAACTTAAATTCCAATAATTTATACTGTTAAACGATTTAGAAAAGAAATATTACACAACTATTGCTGATTTTCTACAACCATTCGAATTTATTACTAAAGCTGAAAATATTAATATAAACAAGAACAGCTTTTAATATATTGCAATCAATATTCATCAAGTAATATATGGATAATATTTTCTTCTAAGAATGAGGTGATCGATGGTAAGATATGAAATAAAAGATCGATATGAAAGAGAAGCTAAATTGTATTGAAACGCTCTGAAAAATATCTTCGGGGATTCTTGTTGGTTTTTCCAGTTACCAGTTTAGTTAACCAGTTACATAGATAAAACTAATAATTGACTTGACTTATAATTTTTTTTAAATCATATTGCATTGCAATTACCTACTTTTAAATTAACGATTTTTTTTTTCAAAAGAAATATAATTCATATAAGATTTGCGATGAAGCGTTGAAGTCTTTTGTAAGAAGTTACGCCCCTTACACCTGCTTGTTACATGAATTTTATTGTAACGTAATATTTAATGATAAACAAAATTTTGATTATTTCACTAAGGAAATTGATTAAGAATAGAAATACCTGACTGTATTATTTCTTTTAAACAGTAATACGAGTAGTACCTACCTATTTATTTACTAAGTCTTAAATGTTTCCTATACATTCCAACTCGAATTGCAATATTAATGCTTAGTTAGTCTTAGTTTCAGGAATTCAAAGATAATTGAAATGTTTTTTTTTATATAAGGTAATATTATTAGGTAATAATAAGTATTACAGTAATATTACCGCCATAGAGTACCTATACGCGCAAAGACAGAGGTGCCAACTTTCGTTCTAACCTACCCGTATCCAGTTGTGTGTCATACGATTAGAGGCTGGATTAGTATGATGATTGCAGTAGGTACATTGATATCCGAAAAGCATCAATTTGTTATACATAGAATTCCACGAGATTTTTCACGTTAAGCTAGGCATATTAAAAGGCCCACCTGGTGAGTCGGTAGTTGAACGATCGGAGTCGGAGTCCCGATGCGCGCTGAGATCCCTCGGCGCTGCGTCGAGGATGTCCGTGATCATGAAGCGTGTGCGCGGAGCGCGCGCGTCGCGCTCGTCGCGCTGCACCGTCATCGCCACGGCGCCGCCCGGGCCCGCGCCCGCCGCCCCAGCGCCCGCTACTGTGCCCGCGTCCGCGCCCGCGCCCGCTCTTACTGCATCCAGCGCACGCGCGCGCCACGACCGCGCCGCGCCCAGCACCTCGCTCGCACCCAGTTCGAAGCCGCCTCCGCCCGTCACCGCACTCGCCACATCACAGTGCCTCCTACCGAATTGCAATCCGACGAGGGACGGATGCGCAGAGCCCAACTCCACACTTATCCTTACACCTTGAACTTCAACGTCAATCAATCCTCAACGTCCGGCCCGTGGCGTGTAAGGCACTCGATCACGAAAGTTTACACACTGTCAGTTCGCGGCACTCGAGTAGAGCGTGTCCGAAGTGTCGTAGTGGCAGAACGCGGGCGGCCCGCACAAGCAGCAGGCTAGAACTGAGCGCGATGCTGCGAGGCGCTCGGAGGCGGGCCGAGGGCGGCATCAACCAACGGGCGGCGCGGCGCACTCGGGGCGTGCCGCTGCCATGTTGCCGCGGGGCCGCGCTAATGCTCTTTTTGCCGACTCGCCGCCGGGAGAAAGCTCCGCGCGGATTTAAGCTTTTATACGTGGATAAAACGCTTTTATAGGAAAATAAAGTGTTCTCGCAGCGGGATATCGCGCTTTACGACGGCGTTTCACTGAAAGTTGGCGACACTATACACTCATAATAGGTTCGAGTCGACTAAATTGAGGCTAGCGTGTCGTCGCTCTGGTACATTTGTTTCTAGTGACTTATCATCTCATTCTAAATGTGTTCTATACCATTAAATTATTTTTGATTTATATTTCATAACTTATATATATATATATATATATATATATATATATATATATATATATATTTGACAGTGTTACATTTTTTCTATTCAATATTTTTATTGAAGTAGGTAGTGAAGTGTATTAAACTGATAAGTGTAGATATGAAGATATCACGTATTTATATAATTTAATTCTACGATATCCATAACTAATATGTTCAACATATTAGTTGTTCATAGCTATCAAAATTGCATTTAAATTCATAAGAGCAATGAATAAGATTAATATCTAGGTATAGTGAATGATGAATAATTTGCTCGTTGAACAGTTTCCTCTCTACAAGTAATAAAATATTACAAAATACGCGTTAATTTTGTAATATTTTATTACTACAACTCATTTATTCATTAAAGCCTATCAAAGTTTACTTACCAAACATAGGCATCCACGTAGAATGGTTCATAATGGGGTTATTTGCTATAGCTACCACGCTAAGCGGTGGGAGCTGGGAGCAGCAGTTTATTCTAGTGTTTATTATTACCAAGACGTCACTGCCCGACTCCAGATTTGTTTCCCTCTGTCATTTCTTTTGAGACCCATGGGGCGTTATGAAGTAATGGATATTCTTACACCGCCACATACGGTTAATTACACGATGTGTTATAATAAATATGAATTTAATGCGGTTTGCATTTACACAATACATATACAATACGTTTTATTCTTCCAGTTTTCTATCATATACACAGTATTAGGATGAAGTACTTTTTGATTCTTAATCGAAGATAAATTGTGCATGTCTATGGGTCATAGCATACTCTTACCTTTATGTAGACTGTATGCTAGTTTGTCATACTTATTCTATAACAAAAATTATTAAAGATGTTTTATATAGCCAAATAAAAATAAAATAACATGTAAGAAGAAGCGAATAAAATCTTGTGTCATAGTAGAATTTGTTTACTTACGCTTACTTTATTTTTAATATACATACACTTGTTAAATTGTTAAATATAAAACAAATTTTATAAATAAGTTAATAACAACATTATTCCTTATCCGATATTTCATAGAATAAGAATGACAAACCAGCGTACAGTTCACTTGATGGTAATCTGATACCGTGGCCCATAGACATCTACATCTATGTCTGTTTTATTTTGATTAAGAATCAATATTCAGAGGCATTGTCAACACTAAGATCGAATGCCTCGTTACCAGTAAAAAGGGTCTCCGGTTCTTTACACTCACCATACTAAATACCGCAACATTAGTCTGCTGCTTCACACTAGTATACTGTGAAAGCTTGGCTTTACCACGTAAATTTCAAATATTTAAATATGTGTTTTTTAAATTTAACAAATTTTACATGAAATTCAATGATAGTGTTGGGTAAAACAGGTCACCTTTTTCTTCGTTGCAGTCTGTTGATTGACGGACGAAGCTTCCAGCACTGACTGTGGTGAAAAAATTATCCAAAAAGGCCAAATTTAAATATCGTACTACGATAATAAGAGTATCGGTAAGTTTGTAATATTGAATTATATTTTTTTTAAATTGAAGGAACAAACTTACAGTCAACCCGTCAACGTTTTATACGTTGTTAGCATCCTCCTTTTCCTTTCAGTCCAGTGAACATTTACTTATTAATTTTAGTTAAATATTATAACATATATTTAATTATAATAATATATAATTTGATGAAAATTATTTTTAAATTATTATTTAAGTCGTTCATTGTGACCTGAATAATATTTTCTTTATTGACTGCAAATTAAAGTCATGGGAGTTTACCTTCCTTTTATAAAGCCCATAGAGAAATAGAGTTATTTCCGGATTCAGGTTTCCTTGAATACTAATGTTAAACATTAATGTTATATAAAAACACTTGTCGACCATTTTAGTTTATTGATAAAAAGTTGATTTCATAAATAATAAGTAATAGTAGTTTGATTTTAACGTGTTATGGGGAGTGAAAGGAAGGAAATAAATTGTTCTCCAAATGAGTCTTTTAGAGAAATAATTAATAAAATAAATATATGAACGTTTAAAAAAACTTTGTACCCTCGCAATACTTACAATAACTTACTTTATGATAACCAAAAATTCTTATATTAAGAACAGTGATGTATATTCTGCAAAAACAACAAGTACAAGCTAGTTATAACCGTAACTCGACTCCAAAAAGCCACTTATTCCTTCATAACGCAGTGTTTACGCTTTAAGAACTCAGAAAATATGTAGTATCTATTCATTATAAAGCTTCTTCATCATCATCATTACAGCCCTTCACAAGTCCACTGCTGAAAATAGGCCTCCCCAAAAGTACGCCACAAAGCACGGTCCTGAGCCACCTGCATCCATCGACTTCCTGCATGTCTTACCAGGTCGTCACTCCATCTAGTGGGGGGTCGCCCTACACTTCACCTACCGTTATGAGGCTGCCACTCGAGAACCCTTTTTCCCCAACGGTTGTCGGTTCTTCGAGCTATATGGCCGGCCCATTGCCACTTAAGCTTACTAATTCCATTGGGCTATGTCGGTCACTCTGGTTCTACTACGGATATCCTCATTTCTAAGTTTATCACGCAGAGAAACCCCGAGCATAGCCCTCTCCATAGCTCACTGAGCGACTTTGAGCGTCCTCATACGGCCGGTAGTGAAGGCCCACTTCTCGGTTCCGTAGGTCATCACTGGCAACACGCACTGGTTGTACATTTTCGTTTTCAGGTTTATAGGTATACCTGACGAGAAGATGTAACGTCATTTCCCAAACACTGCCCAGCCGAGTTGAATCCGTCGATTGACCTCTCGGTCGAAGTTGGACTTACCTAGTCGGACTATTTGTCCCAGGTAAACGTACTCGTCAACAACTTCGAGCTTAGTGCTCCCAACAACTACCGGCATAGGTGTGACATGGACATTAAACATGATCTTTGTCCATGTTCATCTCTTAAGATGAACATGGACAAAGATCATCATGTTTAATGTCCTATCCGTTGGGAGGCACTATTGAGGTCATTGAGCATAGCGCTTAGGTCCTCCAGCAATTCTGCCATAAGGACTATATCGTCAGCAAATCGAAGGTGAGTGATTTACTCGCCATTGATGTTAATACCGTATTCTTTGCAGTCCAGTAGCTTAAAAACGTCTTCCAATGAAGCGGTGAAGAGTTTCGGGGATATAACGTCACCCTGTCTTACACCTTTCTGCAGTTGGATAGGTTTCAAACTCTGGTTCTGTACTCGGATAGCCATCGTATCCCTACTGTACAAACACTTCAGCACTTCGATATACCGACAGTCAACTTGGCACCGCTGGAGAGACTGTAGCACCGCCCAAATTTCGACGGAATCAAAGGCTTTCTCATAGTTCACATACGCCAGGCAAAGTGGCAGATTGTACTCTTCGGACTTCTGTACAATTTTCCGAAGGGTATCTATGTGGTCTATGGTGCTAAAGCATTTTCGGAAACTTGTTCGGGAGGCTAGAAGTCGTCGAGTCTGCGTGCGTGACGATTCGTAATGACTCTCGAAAACAGCACGTAGACGCGGCTCAGAAGAGATATCGGTCTGTAGTTCTTCAAGAGATCATTGTCACCTTTCTTGAAGAACAAGACCTTCAGAAGAAGAAGAAAGAAAGAAGACAAGGCTTTCAGAAGCTCCGCTGTAATTCCATTCTCGCCCGGGGACTTGCCGTTTTTAAGGTGCTGGAGGGCCATTCTAATCTCACTCAGACTGACGTCCGGGATGTCATCGGAATAATGTCGGATAAAAGTTGGTCTTGGATCGTTATTCACACTTGCGTGTGGCTCCAACGATGATGTGTACAGCTGCCCATAGAACCTCTCAATCTCACTCAAAATTTCAGGTGTCCAAGAGACGATGCCGCTACAGTCAGTCTTCAACTTTGACAGTTGGCTCTTTCAGACAGATTGATCTCCGGCAAAGACTTTAGAGCCCTGGTTCCGCTCAATCGCTTTTTCAATACGAGCTATATTGAAGTTGCGTAAGTCCTGCCGCATGCATTTGGAGATCTGTCTGTCCTGCCGCATGCATTTGGAGATCTGTCTGTTCAGTTGCCTGTATGCTGTCAAATCTGCTGACGACTGCAGCTTCATCTCCCGAAGCTTGTTGTCATGTAATATTTTCTTGACGTACTGAAGCTCGGTGGCTAGATGTTTTCTGTCATAGATCCATTGTGCTCTCTAAAACAAATATTTTACGCGGTACCACGGTAGCTAACTGTAATGGATGGTGGTGAGATTCACCATTTCATTATCGGTTTGTATGAGTCTTTTTCCTATAGACAGTGTGACTAACAGTGTTATCTGACTTGACTTCTCGAGTTTATGGAGTTAAGATGGTCAAAAATGCAGTTACTTTGTCAGATGACAAAACTGTGAATGTGTCGTCTACGCACAGCTTGTAGAATCTTAGATTTACATAAGCACT